TAGTAATAACATAACATAAGTGGTTCTGTACTAATGCAAGAATTTTAAGAAATCATATATTTTGAATATTAGAGCTTCACGTATTTCGTATGCTTTTTTTAAAACATCCCTTTGTATATTTGAAATAAGTTATTGTATCTTTTGACACCTTAATATTTTTTAAAAGTACAATTGTACATACATAAAATATTTATAAAAAAAACTACTTACTGAGATATCACCCTTCACGGTGGATAGGTTTTTAAATAGCAAATTAATGAACATAAACTTTTGAATTATCAAACAGCAACACTCTCATCTGCATATAAACTCTAACTGACCTTCAGGAATCACATGCATCTATAATGTCGTAAACAGAGGTTTATGCTTATTTAAAATGATTAAAGCGCCACCCGTTTGGTGTCGTCCCATCTCGGGACCTCCCATCTCGGGACCTAGGGAAAATTTACCTGTTTCTGTGCCATCTCGGGACCGAGTCTACTGGTACAAGTTTAAAAGTGCCATCTGAGGACCTAAGTAAAAGGATTACTTCGCGGTCAGTTTTTATAAAATATATATATATACATTAGGGTGGGCCGAAAATCCGCTTTTTTAGAATTTCGTTTAGTAATAGCAAAAATTTTGTTTATTATGTTGTAAACAAATTTTGTGTAAAAGATTAAATTTTTCGATCAACATCCTAGGCTCGCCCAACGCAATTAAAGATCAAAATGTTCAAAAAATGTTGATACTAAAATCGGGTTTATTTCTGAAACTATCCATCTGAAGTAATTTTGTGTAAGGACCTTTTTTGTAGAGCATAAAATTTCCGATCGAAATAAGTTAGGAAAATTTTTTTTTTAACATTTTGATCTTTAGTTGCGTTGCAACGCGTTGGGCGAGCCTAGGATGATGATCGAAAATTTTAATCTTTTACACAATTTTTTTTTACAACAAATTTCTGAAACTATCCATCTGAAGTAATTTTGTGTAGAGCATAAAATTTCCGATCAAAATAAGTTAAGAAAAATTTTTTTTTGAACATTTTGATCTTTAATTGCGTTGGGCGAGCCTAGGATGTTGATCGAAAATTTTAATCTTTACACATTTTTTTTTTTACAACATAATGAACAAAATTTTTGCTATTACTAAACGAAATTCTAAAAAAGCGGATTTTCGGCCCACCCTAATATACATGTATACATGTAAGCATTAAAGGAATATTGTATTATTTTGCAAAATTATTAAACAGCGTCTATTTTATGCTACTGCAAAGATATTTTTAAAACTATAATATTTTAAGCGTTAGAAAGTTATATATCTTTCAATCTATTTTATGGATAAACAAACACAAAACATTTAAAAATCAAACCTATGGGGGGCCAATGGGGCGGGGTCGGTAGGGTTGTGTTGTTGAGTTTGGCTAATTTTTGCTGTGTTTAATCAATATCTATTTTTTACAAGTTTTCTTTACAATTTTTGCTTTTTTGGAATTTTTTACAAGTTTTTTTGCATTTTTATTGCATTTTTCTCCATTTTGTTGATTTTTGCTCATTTTGTTTTTTGTTTTGTTGTGCTGTTAATATAAATTAAGTTAAAGTGTCCCGTTAATAACAAAAAGCCGTGCAGCCGCCTTAAGTATTTTGTTCATGACAGGTATAAAAATGTATTACCTTGTATAGGTCCCGAGATGGGACTTTTTAATTTTGGAAACTTTATGGCTTAGGGTCTGGGTCCCGAATTGGGAAAGGTCCCGAGATGGGAGGTCCCGAGATGGGACTAAGCCATCCGTTTCATACAATTTAAAGCAAAAACAGATTCACGGAGCATAGAATCAATTTTTGTAACACCTACATAAATGGTTATAAAAATTATTTCTTTTAATTTTTAATAATATTTTATATTCGATACGATTGCTTTGGATGTGTTTAATTTACTTAGTAAACTGATATTTTTAGTATGCTTTTACTACCTCAGATATTTGAAAACATATAGGTTAATCTAGAAAGAGTAACAGTCACGGAGGATAGGTTTAAGACTTTTAACACTCAAAACAAACCACTTAAATATTATATCATAAAGAGAGTAAAAAATTGTCATGCCATTTTATGTAGCAACTAATTTAAGTATGTATGTAGAATATATGCAATATAAATAATCTTTACAGTCGGTTTTATTGTTTTCGCTTATAATTTATGAGATAAGTTGGTGCATGTATAAACATAAATGAAATTAAAATTACTGACTATGTTTATATTGCACGTAAACTTCATTCTGCTATGTGCCTAGGTAGGTCGTAGAAATTTTGTTAATGCTTTATGGCAATGTTTTATGTAGTACCACTTACGCTTCTTCGTTGATTATGATATAATATCTACAAACATGCTAATTAACCCATTAGGTACTAGTGTGCAAATAAACTTTTCGATTTTAGTTTATAATTTATTTTGTATGTTTTATACTAATATTAAAGTTAAAAATATTAAGGTAAAGTAGTCCTATATAGGTCCAATATAGGACAAAAAAAGTTCGCGCGTTACTTTGGTGATAAGATGTTTGTTTTTTGTTAAGAGCAGGGCTGTGTTCACAGAAAGAAAAATTTGATTAATAGTTAATAAATATAAGTTTAAGGCATATATGCTAACATACAGTAAAGCAATATACTAAATATATTACTAAAATTATTTTAAAAATTGTATTCTAAATAATAGAATGTGGTTTTCTTAATAGTAACCTGGTATAAGTTAAAGGCTATTGATTTAATGTTAGTGGATGTAGGTTTGTTGTTAATATACTCAGTTTGTTACAAGTATTTAGGAAAATATTATAAATTATAATATAAATGGGTAACTGTTATTTTATGATAAATAAACTTATACCTTGGTATGCTGATATCAAGTATAAGTTGCAATAATTATCAGCATTTGAATGTTATTGCAAAATATAATATTCTTTATAATATTAATCAAAAATTAACTTTCAGGTGATAAATTATAACTATCATTATAACCGAGTTGTGCGAAAAGTAAAAAGGTAACTATTAGCGAATGAGTTATTAGCAGCTGATATGCATGATGTACACAGCGTACGCCTAATTCAGTGAAAATACTCATGCGGTGAGGTTGATACAATGACAGAACATCAAATAATTATTAGAATTGTGGGGTTTGTACTTAGTTATTATAAATATCTACTTGTGCTTTTCCAAAAACGATGCTTTCTAAGAGATATACCATAATTAATACGCCAAAATCTTGTTTTTGCCACCATGATAGAAGTAACAAGCGTTTGAACCATGAGGTTAGGTAATAGTTTATATTAGTGTTAATACTTATTATTATATGAATTGTTTTAATGCTGATGGATGTACATAAGTATTATTTGTTAAATTAATTTCGTATTTATACTTTTTAAGTATGTGAACCATGTTGTTTGCATAATCATATGCTAAAATAATTATTTTAAGTATTATAATACTTACTTTCATATATTAACTATTAGCTGATGGAAAAATAACTGATAACTCAGAAAATGTAATTATTATAATAAAATTCTAATAGAAAACCAAATAATATAACAGTTAGTAAATACAATATTTAAAATAATAAGGTAAATTTAATAGTTATTAAAGTGATTTAACTATTAATATTTCAAAACCTTTCTATTAATAAATGAAAGGTAAGATTAAGTACTTCTTTATACCTTGTAGTATTATAACTGTTAGTTCATATAGGTTTGGCAGAATACGAATCCACTAAAGGGTAACTATTACCTTGTAACAGTTAATATTATTATGTCTTTTTCTCTGTGTTTAAATTACCATAAAAAATATTTCTAAAAAGTGTACAGATCAGTGTGTGGTATAAAAGTGTTTCTCATGGTTTAAACATTGTCACTTTAATGCGTTTTAATTTTAATTCTGAGAACAAACAGTAAAATGGCCAGTGTCCAATTACTGGTTGGTAAAAAATGTAAATTTCTATTATTATGTCCAATATCATACTCTATTTGTATCCCGGACATTTACCAGCCAATTATATGTAAAATTGTTCCCTGAATCCGAAAACTATAAAAGTTAAGCAGTTTTTGAGATATAGTCAATTCCATATTATATGTAAAATTGATTATATTTAAAAAACTGTTCTAGTTTTATAACTTTTGACGACATTTTCGGATTCAGCGAATAATATTTTATAGGAATTGACTGCTAAATGTCCTGGATACAAATTGCTGTTGACGAGAATTATTAGTGGCTGCTTTTTCGCTTTGAAATATTTAACTAATTCATTTTTAGAGAGTAAGTAATATAGTGATTTCTTCGTCTCAGGACATCTTGCAGAATAACAGTGCATAGAGAACATAAAAAAAGTAATCGCAACAAAATTAATAAATTCGGAAAAAACTTTTAACATACCACCCGAAAAAATATTAGATATATATAAATCATCCTGTTCAGGCCTAAATATTATAAATGCTTCACAAACTAGAGAACCACACTTAATGAATGATATTTGCAACAAACTATTTCAGAAGTTAGACCAAGGAATTAGAGTTACCTTCAGAATCCAGAAAAGGGATGAGGAATCCGAAAAAGAAATATATGAATTATATGATATTTACAAAAACGAAATAAAAAAAATTACCTAAAACAGCAATTTATCTTTAAAAAATATTTAACAATTTATGTTATTTGATGTAAAGTTGTTATGTTTATATAAAAATGTTATGTCCAATAACTATGATCCATGTGTCAAATTACTATACTTTTTTGCATGTTTTTATAAAAACTATTATTAAAAATTTAAATATTCTTATTTTTAAGTAAACGTAAATAAAGTTTATTTAAACTAATATTTTTTCTCAATAATGTAATATTTAAGACTATACAAGGTATGGTATAGTATAGTATAGTATATCTTCGGCATTGTCAAAGTTTAAAACTTATAAATTTGATAAAAAAGAATTTTATTTTATATATAAATTTATGAACTCAATTGTATTTTTATCTTTTTTCTTTTCAGATGCTGGTGTTGAATTTCAATTCGGTGAAGGAAGGGAATGTGTAAATTGTGGGGCAATTTCAACTCCTCTATGGAGAAGAGACGGAACTGGCCACTATTTGTGCAATGCGTGTGGACTTTATCATAAAATGAATGGAATGAACCGACCACTTATTAAACCATCAAAACGACTGGTAAATATTAATTAATAAAATACGCTAAAGAAGTATCGCTAGTAGCGCCACCACTCGGCTGTTATCATCGTAACAAAAGTACAACTTTTAATAATCAGCTGTCAAACGCTTATGTTACAAACGAGTGTTTTTGAGAATACAGCAGGAAAATGTTAAAAAAATATCGAAAAAAAAACCTTGGCACGATTTGTTGTGTTGTTGGGTGTATTTCGAGAGGAAATCCTGGGTTGAGTTTTTATCAGTTTTTCAATAAACAGTGTTAATCTGAATGAAGAAATAAATTTCATACAGTCCCTGTAAATATAACTTGTATCTATTAGATACAATACATACACACATAATATATATATATGTATTACTAAAATGTGTATACACATTTTAGTAATGATTAACGTGAAAAGTGTAAACATTTCAATTCAGTAATAATCGTCAAACAAATAAGTCCTCTACATTTAAACAGCATTTAGCATTATTAAAAGCGTTGATTAAGAATTCTTTAAAGTCTCAACTCAACGGTAAAATACCATTATATGTTGCCATAATTTCGTAGGTATATTTTGTTGTTTAAAATGTAGGTAGTTGTCGGCGTTTTTTAGAGAACTCAAATATGAAAATGGTTGATTTTAAGGTTATGATTGTGAAAAAATTATTTTTTAATATTCCTAAAAATGTCCAAACTTAAATATAAATTATATTAGGTAATGTGATAATTAGTTAATTCTGCACCAACAAATGTAGGTACTTACCGAATTGGATCCCTTGACAAAACATGAAAATGCAACGATTTAGTTCTTGAATTTTATTTACAATTAAAAACACAATAATTCAACATGATCCCTTAGATAAAATACACACACTAACGTAACTATACATAAGCATTTAAGCGTTGAGTTCCTTAATTAATGATATAAGGAATAATGAATCGAAATCGAGTACTAAACCAGTTTTTTAGTTTTTTCCTTGCAACGTAAAACACAAATAACGTGCGCTATTTAGTTGTGCAATTTAACAAAATTTGTATACAAATTATAGAGTAAGACTTCCGGCTTCCTCTCTTTTGTGAAAAAACTAGTTACCTACCTATTTATTTAAAAATGATGTACAGTTCGTATGCTTTTGAAGTCCACCAGATGGCGCGTTGCGAAAACCCGATACTTCTTTAGCGTATAATTGGAAACAAAATTTTTATAAAGTTAAAATTTGATAATTATAAAAAAATAGTTTAACAACATCTAGATAAACATTCTTTATTATGAGATACACAGTAATGTCGTGTATTTTTATTTTTTTGTATTTAAAAATGTTATGTACAATATATCATTTTTATGATTAGTACAATAATTGTACAGGTAATAAAAGTAAAAGATAAGACGATTTCTGTTTATTTCACTATTAAACAAACATATTAGAAAAATTATATATAATTAAATCGTGTTTGAAAGTGAAACTACATATGTATGTAGCCTACATAATGTAGGTATGCTATATTTAAAAGAAATACTTTATAGATAAATGTACTATTAACAAAATGTACCTTCCGATACTTTTTTAAAAATGTGATCCAAGCTATTATAATACACGGAGAGAAAAATTTTGCTAAAACAACTATCCAAAGTATTGTTAAATTATAATTTAACAATACTTTACTTAATACGTAGGTATACGTATCGTGAATTTAGTCAACTGTTTTATTAAACTGAGGATTTGTATGGCTAAATCAGCTATACAGATCCTCAGTTTAATAAAACAGTTAACTAAATTAACGATACGTCATTTAACAATACTTTGGATAGTTATTTCGGCAAAATTTTTCTCTCCGTGTAGTTGGTATACCAACCTAACAGAGTTATAGTATTACTACTAGATTGGGCCAAAAAATCATTTTTTTTTTAAGTTTATCGAAAATATGGCTTGGGGTGAAAGTTTGAGTCCATAATATTAATATTAAGAGGTCTATCATCCCAATTTTAAATTTTTTTTCCTCAGCAAGTTTTTGTCTTAAAACTCCCAAACTATTGAGTTTAACAAAATTGACTCAGAAATATTTTTTTAAGAAAATTAAATGCTCTACAAAAAAAGGTTAAAATGAAATTTTCCGTCAGATGAACCGTTTCCTTAAAATCATGCCTTAAAAATTGGTATAGTTTTTCATTTTGATCTTTTAACTTTTGTAATTCATGTAAAAATCAGTACCCAGAAAAAAACCGATGAATATTCTTATGGGAAATCAAATGCTTTACAAAAACAGCCCATAACATTTTTGGCTAAATTCACTCAATTAAAAGTTATTCAAATTATTCAACGAAATTCTTGTTTTTTTCAAATAATTTTGTTTAACCCAGAAAAAGTTTTTGGTGCTTGGTTCCTTTTGGATAAACGCTATATGTGATCGAAAAAGATTAAAAAAAAACGCTGCATTGTTTACCAAATTTCTTATTCCATATTTTATATCTCCATACTTTTAATATGTTCCTTTATATTTTATATTAATTTGCCTTCAATCCTACCATTAGTAGACCTGTTAAAATGTAAAATAGGATTTTCCGTTGCAGACGGCTACGAGGCGATTAGGCTTGTGTTGCACGAACTGCGGCACCAGAACCACCACCCTGTGGCGGCGAAACAACGACGGCGAGCCCGTGTGCAACGCGTGCGGCCTCTACTTCAAGCTGCACGGCGTGAATCGACCCTTAGCGATGCGCAAAGACGGCATCCAGACGCGCAAGCGCAAACCCAAGAAGCCGTCGGGCGGCGACAGAGAGGAGACGAGCTCCGCCTCCTTGGAAGGTTAGTACCGCCCACTTTTACGCGATTGGTCGACGAGGCCGAGGCGACGTGATAATACTCACGCACTGCCAGCAGCTTATGGTCTCCTGTCAGTGCGTAAAGAGATACGGCATAATAATAATTTATTTTTTATCGCCACCCCCGGACTTGCGAGTCTCGCGTCTTTTTTGCACTCGTTACTAGAGAATAAGGACGTTTTTTTCTAGTTTATCCGATGCGTAGGCCTATGCCTACCCGATATCATGGCAATAAAAACGTTCGTCTAAATTAAACCTTGCATTTTCATTGTGCTTCTACGATGGTAAATGTTGTTTATGTGACAATTTAATATAGCAAGCCTCGGTTTTAATTACGATTACAGCTTTCTGCAACGGAGATGTTGAAAATGTTGTATGCTTGGGAGCACACCACATAGAGGGCAGCACTAATAATATACTCGTTGCTGTCAACCTTTAATTGTATTGCCTTGTACGTATTAAATTCTTAAATAAATAAATGATAATAAACTATCAAGTTTACTATAATTAATTTGGTAAAAAATTATATTTGTTTTTAATTTAATTATTTACTAAATTATTAAAGAAGTTGTTACGGTGTTCGTAGCAAGGAGACTTGAAGAAGCCTGGGTTGCTCCGGTGGCTCAATGGAGAAGGGGGTGGGGTACAATTAGTACTAAAATTTTAAACGATAAGAGGGCGCCATGCAATTTACCCCGGCGAAAAATATAGGCTTGGACAAATTGCAAAATCCGTGTCTAATGGCTAAGGTTGATAAGTATCAAAAAATAAACGTTTAACGCTATTGAGTAAGTATATTCGGTGTAAAATGATAAATGAATATAAAATATTTAAAATAAAACAATAAAGAAAATGTAAATTAATTAGAGCGCAAATTAGCTAATTTGTCTTTACACGTATGTATCTTAACTTAAACTCTTAAGATGTAAAGTGAATAAAACGAAAGAACAATAATAATACTCCGGGTTTAACAAAGCAATTTCCGGTACGCGCTGTGGAATATACTTGCAGCCCAAACTTAAAATTATGGTACTTATCAGTGTCCAGGTTCCCAAACGAATCCAAAATCCAGAATATGTGCTAAGGCTAAATTATTCAATCTTCAAGGGTTCCAGCCTCGTACAAATGGACTGGGGGTGTAGGGGAAGCAGGGGGAATGCCGCTCAGTTAAGAAAAAAACTCGGTATTTTTAAAAAACGTTAGTTTATTTTAAATGTACGAACAAATAACAACAGTTTAACTCTTTGGTAATCAAGATTTTAATACAGAAAGTAATTATATTTCACTTACAAATAGTAGGAAAACTTAAAAAAAAAACAGGATTGAGCGTCATTGCCCCTGGGTAATGGGTAATACCGCTCAGGCAAAGGGGTAATGACGCTTAAATCTAAGATATCCATTTTAATTAACAAATACTAAAGAGATCAACCTTAAATAACTAAAACAGTCTTAGGGCCAGTTTATTCACCTATTGTTAAGTTTATCTGACTGATAATTTCCTTGGATACTATTAAGTGCTAAAAATCTTGATTTACCGATAAAATAGTTTAGCTAAAAATTAGATGACAGCCGCCACAAACAAATAAACTCACCTCACTTTCTCGGCTGTGCAAGTGGACTGATGTTATGTAGCTTGCCCACTTAGGCGTCATACCCCTTACGACTTAGCCATCGGCCGTGTTTCTATGCACCGTATTTATCAAGTAACTGGGGTGAGCGGCATTACCCGGTGAGCGCCATTACCCCTGCTTCCCCTACCAGCAGCCTTGCACACTTCTTGTGGCTTCAACCCTTACAAGGAAAATATACTGTCTTTGGAAATTTATATAAACCTCATGGATTTATCCAGTGTACAGATTAAGTACAGGAACTAAGAATATAAACAACAAAATTAGAAATATACAAGACAAAAGACAAAAGACTTACCGATTACAAGAAAAATGAGGGTGAAATGGTTCTTTCCAACATCCGGAATAAATCCGTTAACATCCCGTAATACAAACTACCTTCTACCAAAATAATTCACTACAACCACTTTACAGGATGTAAATGGCACAGGAAGAAATATTAAAATCCGTTACCAACAACGATGGCACTAAATACAGCCAAACTTATATTTCTGTCCAGAAGAACCAACATGGAGAGTCACCAACAGAGTGTTAAAAAACGAATCTCAAGAAGCGGGAAAATCAGACTACGGGTAATACTTAGGGAAGTTTTGTATAGATGGCCAATAAAATATTTAAGAAATTAGAAATTTTAGGTACTGACTTAAAATTACTTAGTAACAAGAAACTTTGCTTATGCTTGTTAACAATTTAGATGTTATAAAATGTAAATAGATTTTAATTAAAATAAAAGACCAGTTAATAATTACAGATTTCATTATTTATAAAATTGACGGTAAGTAAAGAGAATAACAATAAATGCGTTTATTTTTTTTGTTTATAAACACCTGCAAATCAACAAATCGTTTTTACTGATTTCTTTAAAGTAAGTTTAAAATTATTCACTAATTATGGTAAGATGTCGCTAGCTTTACAAAATTGTTATAAATTTTACGTCTAATAAAATTAAAATATTACTTAATATTAAGCCCTAATTTGGACCGTAACAAAGTATTAAACTAATTATAATTTATTATTATAAGTTATAATATATGGGTGAATATATTGAGATGTCCCCCAAGTGAAAATGATTATTTTTATTTTTGGTTGTTTCACTGTTAGTCTAGAATGGGGTTTTTGAGAAGCCACCAGGTCTAGTAATAACATAACATAAGTGGTTCTGCACTAATGCAAGAATTTTAAGAAAATCATACATTGTGAACAATAGAGCTTCACGAAAGATAGCTGCACGGAGGTTAGGATTTCATATTTGAAATAAGTTATTGTATCTTTTGACAATATTTTTTATAAATAAAATTGTACATACATAAAATATTTATAAAAATATCTACTTACTGAGATATTACACTTCACGGTGGATAGAATTATAAAACAGCAACACTCTCATCTGCATATAAATTCTAACTGACCTTCAGGAATCACATGCATGCATCTATAATGTCGTAAACAGAGGTTTTTGCTTATTTAAAATTATTAAAGCGCCATCCGTTGCATAAAATTTAATGAAAAAAAAGATTCACGAAGGATAGAATCAATTTTTGTAACACCTACATAAATGGTTATAAAAATTATTTCTTTTAATTTTGAATAATATTTTATACCTATTTGGATGTGTTTAATTTACTTAGTGAACTGATATTTTTAGTATGCTTTTCCTACCTCAGATATTTGAAAACATAAAAGTTAACCTAGAAAGAGTAACAGTCACGGAGGATAGCTTTTAGACTTTTAAAACATTGTACAAAAATAATTAATTGCGGTTAAAAATCTGGAAGCTGAGCTGTAATATCTAGGTACTTAATTATGAAAGTTCAAAACACAATAAAAGTGTAGGTCAAACTCATTTATTTTTATTAAAATTGCCATGTCAAATTTTGTGCTGCAAACTTAAAAACACAAACTATGACAGTTTAAAACCTTACTTTTGCCATTATAACAACAAATTAACAATTTATATTGTTACCTATTTATTTTTTATGTTGTTTTTAATTTAATTAATAAACTATTAATTATGTAGGTAATTAGAATAGGTACAAAGTTTTATTTTTGAATTTCCTGTTATTTATTTGTAGAACTCTTCTTAATTACACTAGTTTACAGCCATAATGCCCACCATGTCTCACTATGATTTTCTTGTGTATACCCAAACTATAGTTTGTCTCACTAAACGCGAAAATCATACTTAAAGTTTTTTTCATGGAAGCGTTTTCAAGATATGAATTTTCAATTGTTTTTTTGTTAATTTTCTGAGGTGTTTTGACGTTTTAGAGTATACTTCGAGTTCTAGTTGATCGTTTTGACCAAACAAAGGTAATTGAGCCCTCTACAACTTTTATTAAACAACATTTTATGAAAGGGTCCAATCGACCTCCGAGACAGTGCTTTTTTAAAATATTATTTAGTTGCTGCTGAGGAGCAGTAGACACATCTTAAAATGTATAATGGGTTGCATACAATACTCGTATTAAATCGGCAGTAAAGTTCTACTTTACTGCCGATTGTTGACTACTTTACTGCTGATTTCGGATAAAAGTTTATTATCGCAACTTATTTTGTATTTTTTTTCAGAAAGTAAAACACCTTCCCTCGGACTTCCATCCTCCCAACAACAGCAGCAACAACAACAACAAACCCAGCAGCAACAACAAACATCTTCCCAAAACCAGCAGCAGCAGCAACAACAACAGAGCCATCAAATGGAGAAGTCGTCTCCCATAGACCGACCGTACCTGGGTCAGACATCCCTTCTCCCCGCCACGAGCACCGGCGCAATTAAAAGCGAACCCGGCTATGAGTACAACTACCTGCAGAACCAGCCTTCCTATCCGTACCAGCAGATCTTCGGATTTCCTAGCGGGGCCTCCACCAACGGAGACATGGCCTACCATCATCAGCACCACGTCACTGCGGCTGCCAAGTTAATGGCGTCCTCCTAACATCATCTAAAGACTTTCCTGCTTTAGGAGAAAACGCAAACAAATAGATTTACGCAATTCGGTACGCAGAGAAAAATAACACTATGATAGTTTTACAAACTTTTTCCTAACATTAAGTACTCCAGCTTTGGGCCGGTGATTTCAAAAATGTCATTAGTTTGTCTCTAGGACGTCTAGGATTTAAAATAATTTCGTAATAAAATGCTCTGCTCAATCACCTCAAAATGTAAGTTTTTTGTTGGTATTTTAACCTCAAAATTTAATGCATTTTCTAATTTAAATTTATTAAATCGTGCTTATTGTGTTAATGTACACATAACGCCTTTTTTTAGCTGGGGATGGTGATTCATTATCGAACAAATCCACCACCCCCTCATTTGGTTCTAGCAGGCAACGGAACGGAGGCAGTGGGGAAGACTCTAATGGCATCGGTGAGGGTGAGGTTGGCGGCGAAGGCTCCGATGCTATTGGTGAGGGTAGTGGGGAAGGTGACTGAGTTCTAAAAAGAAAAAAAAATTAAAACTTAAATTAGAAAAAAAGTTGTGTGTATTGCCTGTAGTCGACAAAACAAAAGCAGAAAAGCCTGCCACAGTCTTCGCATTCTCGCCTGTAAGCCCAATTTATTGCTCTGCAAGAAAAAATAGATAAATAAGTAATAAACATTAAATAAATAACTTACTGTTTTAAGGGCATCAGATGTGGAGGTGGAGTTATATTTCTGAAAAGAAAAAGGTATAAATAATTAAGGTTAAAAATAAAAAAAATATAACTTACTTTTCCATAAAATATTCTTCTGGATTGACAGGCGGCGTGTACCTGTTAGTACTTTCACTATATTCACTCATCGTTGCTTGTACCTCAGTATCCTCATCATCGTCGTACATCTTTTGCTGCAAATTCAAACTTCTTTCCGCTATACCCATAGATATCTACCAATGCTCTAGACTTGCAGTTACTTGGTGAAATCGTTCTCCATGTTCATCAGTTCGGCAAATTTATCAGGATGAAAAAAAAATGTATTTAACGCTAATTCTTTGCAAAACGGAAAGCATTTTTTCAATGAATTGGCGCCAATTTTAGGCCAGATATAAACCAAGAACATTTTCAATGACAGTTTTCACTGCCATATGCGACAAGCTCGTCAACTTTGAGAGCATTTTTGAATAGGTACTTGATCTTTCATTAAACGTCGTATGTCAGGTCCATTTAATATTTCTGCAAAATTAAAGTAGTAGGTATATCTCATAAAATTTTGTTATAAAATATTGCGTTGCTTTTTCTTGGGCGTAAAGGTACCGCAACAAAAACAAAACAAATTTACAACGACGACATAAATGTTCGTCTCCTTTCTCTTTCTCTGCCACTTCCATTACCACTTCAATTTCCTGCTCTTTTTTCATTTTTGGTGCTTAAAATCACTTTCAAGTAAAAATACAATTTAAAGTTTAAATTTTAAATGTCAATAATTAATTAGTGTGCTTGAACGATAAAGTAGATAAAGGCGCCTTTATACTTTAATTCGATATTAAATTTTGATAAGACTTAATAAATAAGATTCAAGATTTAATTTTTGGGTACTTTAGACATGATGTGAATAAAAACATATCAAATAATATTCGAAGAGTAATGCTTATACCGAAACCCATTTACTTTGTTGCCTTTTCAATTTAATTAGTAATTAAAAAAAACACACAAAAATTATACTTTTTACCAAAAAAACATTATAATGTTAGTTTTGGTAAAGCACTTCTCTGCAGAAAAGTGATTTATTCAATATCCCTTATAAAATACCACTATAGTACCTATACGGCTACAATGGAGCAAACAAAATTTCTATTTGACATTTATTCACCAATGACTTTGTATGGAGTCCTGTATATTTTTGATAAAAAACGTAAAAAATATACTGAACATCCAAAATAGATTTAAGGCAAAATAATTTAATAAATAATCAAAATATTAACGAAAAACTTACATTTTGAGATAATTGGGCAAAGCATTTTATTACGCAATTATTTCGAATCCTAGACGTCCTGGAGCAAAATGAGTGGCATTTTTGAAATCAGCAGCCCAAAATTAGGTAATATAGGTGGGCGTACTCAATGTTAGTAAATCGAACTATCATAGTGTAATAAGTATTTTTTTCTATTTGGCAACATGGTTATAGAATTTTAGGATTCTAAAATATTTAAATAGACATATCAATACTAAAACAGTTTTTGTGCCTCTGTATAAATCCCGGCGCATTCGCCATTTTTGAAACTTTATTTTTAATGTAACCATTTATTTTTTTCTGCGTATATTCTATATAATATAGGTAAGTTTGATTTGCAAGTTGTGTCTAGTCGAAAAAACATGCTAAAAATCACTGTTTTTGTAAAAATATCTGAAAAGACTATGTTATGTGAATGATTTATTATAAAAAGTGCCTCCAGCAAAATAAAAGAAAATTTAATCAAAGCGCCTTTTATAATAAACCCTTTAAACACAGATCACAAAATAAATGTGATTTTAATGTAATTAGGTATTTATTAATTTGAAATTAGAATTATAGTTTTGCAATATTTTTACCAAATTTAGTTTATCCAAAATTATTCGTTTTTAAATGTTATTTAAATCTGTATAATATAACGCACAATACTGTGATTTAAACGTTTTCGCATTATATCCCTTCATAACAGTATACACTATAATATACAGGGTCTTAAAACTTTACATTACAAAAATAAAACACAACTCTGTAATACCTTCTCCTTTTAACTTCGAATTAGTTTGTTTGAAATATTATATTATCGTACATATTGTACTGTTTTTAACTGTCTAATATTTAGATTTTGTAATAATATTTATTAATTTGTTTTTGTTACATACTATATATCGTGACTGTTTAGTTTCTCAACGTACAGAAAATAAAATTGCAATCGTACTATGTTGTACTGCACATAATTAGATAATAGATAGTATAGATATTGTAAATACGTGTATTAATTTAACGATATTTTTATTTTGTACATAAACAATACATACCCAATTAAACTGTACTAATAAATATGTAATCGAATACAAACTTGTTTTGTTCGCTTTTTGGTCCTTTTAACTTCTAACACAATATAATAATATTAATTATTAACAATTATTTTTTTCTTCCAATGGTGTTGTGAAATTAATAGTACATTAAAAAACAAAAATTTTGGCGCCTATTTGAGCCCTTAATATTCATGTTAAGGTTTGCCTCAATTCATTTGTGGTTTTTCCATTTCAATAACACTGAATTTTTTTTTTAATTTTAAATTCTTATAACTTTGGAATGGTTTGTTTTTGCAACACCCAAGCGAGAGGATTTATAGGAAATTTCACGCTCTACAAAAAACGACTAAAGGTCAAAGTTCTTCAGATCAACCGTTTCAAAGATATCAGCGATCAAAAATAACACTAATCAAAAAATTTCAAATATTTTCCAATAAAACTACAAAAATATATCATATGCCATATTTATATTATTTTTTAGGTAAAATCACTTTAATTCTGTTAACCTGACACTGTAAACTTTTTTTCTCTACGACTACTTAAGAATAGTAACATTCTAGTGTAATTTTTGATCATAGAAAGGATGTTTTTCTGCAATACTGTGCGAGAATATTCTTACTCTTGTTTAAGAATAGTCACAAGTAACGACATCTCCTGGCTGTTTACTAAACGTAAAAAATTTAAAAATATTTAAATATTACTGTATTATTTATTAATAAAAAATAATAGCAGTTGTATAATTAAGGCTTAGGCACAAAAAAATGGTTATATTAATTGTTTTTCAAATATACAAATCAAAATTATAATAAATTTGATATTAAAATGATAAACCAGTTACCTACTATACCGGCTTTGAAGTTTTGACAGATTCAAAAAGTTTAAAAAAAGACCTTTAAAATGTAGAAAAAGAATAGATGTTAACATAGATTACTTGTAAAATTAGTTTTGTATTTGTTACAATGTTATTTTTTTTTTATTAGTTAGTGTAAATAACTATTTTTAATTATAATAAAGATTTAGGCATACCATTTGTTTAAATTTATTATAATTTACATTATAAAATTGTGACGGCACAAAATGGTTTGACAATACAAAAAACCTAAATGTCAAAAACTGCTTGGTTTTTTTTCTCTGTTTAAAATTATATAAGCGTTACTATTCTTACGTAGTCGTAGAGAAAATAATGTCTGAAACACGTTTGGAATAGCATATTCCACTCTCGTAAATTTTTCCTCGAGCGGAATATGCTGTATTCCAAACTTGTTACAGAATGTACTATTCTCTAATTAATTCAATACGTATCTCACATGATTTTAATGTACTATTAATTGGGAAAAAACTAATTGTTTTTTTTTAACACCTTAAAACACCTTAATATATATATACATGGTGAGTCATTTAACTTAAAACTTTGAAATATCTCAGTTAGTATGCATTTTACGAAAAAATCTTTAAAACAAAAATTAAATGATTTGAGGGGGGAAATCAATCAGTAATTGGTCCTCATACTCCTCCTTAAAGGAAGAAAAGGGGGTAACTTTGAAATTTCTTATGAAATACCCTATTTTTATTGCAGATTCGGATCATTCGACTAAAAATAGGTAGATTTTGTCTAAAACATTTTTTCATATTTGTAATAGATGGGACTGTAATGAAAAAAAATCAATTTTGTTCGATTTTTCTTCTTATACGATTCTGCAATAATTTTTCTATAAAAATATCACTTTTTTGGTAATAATTATCCTATTAAATTAAATCTGATTTTTGTAAGTACCCACGATATTTTTAACTAATAAGTTTCCTTTTAAGTTTCCTTTGGTGAGAATTATCAATTGCGCACCATGGTCACTTTTTACCTGTCAGCATTAAATCTTTTAATTTAAAAGATTATTGTACTATTTTTAATAAAAATACTCCATTTAAGGTAAAAAAATCATTATTTTGTCAATTAATTAATTTAATCCTTATTGAGGTATAAACAAATGGTATTTAGTTATAAATAATAATTATTATTAAGGTATAAAGAAACTATTTATACCTACATATAACTATAGTTACATTTTTGATCAATTTAGTTCGTAGATTAATTTGCAGACAAAAGGACCTTCTTTCGTTAAGCAGTTATTCATAATGGATTTTTTAACAGTGGAAGAAAAAATAGAAATGATTTTGATTTATGGAGAAGCAGACAGGAACCTTGATGATGCTGTTAATATCTACGCTCAGCGTTTTTTAATACTTAAAAAATATAGTAACAAGCCTACCAAAAATGTCCTGTAATATTCAAGATGTAGAGGTTTTTTGTAAGAAACGTAAAGGTGATTAATCAATGACTACTATTAATTGTAGTAAAAAAATCACACTTTAAGGACAACCAAATTAACAAACAACAAACTTATATTAACAAATCTGATTTTTATAAGTGTGGTTTTGTTGTAAGAAATGTAAACGTGACTTATCAATAACTGCTATTCTTTGTAGTAAATAAATCAGACTAATTATTAATTTTTTTCTACACATTTGATAAGTATTACAATATTTTATTATATAATTAAAACATATTTATTTATATTTATAAAATTTAATTAAATTATATCTTTTACAACATTTAAGTTTAATAATATTTTAAATATTAAACAAATCGCACATGGGCGACAACAGTGTCATAAGTAGTAAAACCTTAATTCCGAGATAATGACCGTCAAAGATTATTAAATAACAAAATTCTAACATATTTGTAAAATTTTATAAACTTACAGTATTTTCTTTGCAAAGGAGGAACCACAGTAAGATTCTGAGCCAGTTAAAAATTAGATTTTAAAAAATACTCTTTTTGAATAAGAGCTATTTGTACATATTTCTGTGTTGCCGTAGAAGGTGTGCATCAATTTTGAAGATATGTCTGTGTTGCTGAAAATATGTGCAAGAATTTTGCAGATATGTCTGTATTCTAAACATGTGTTGATCAATTTTTAAATTATTCATTCTTTTATTGCATCGCT